GCTCTATTTGCTTGTGGGAGACAATTGATCCTGTAGTTTCCCCCATGTATATTCTCTATAGTTAGTCCTCGATTTACAATCACAATTCAGACCAGAATTTCTGTCAAAAGACATTATAGTCATAAGTCAACTGATTAGAACTGATTAGATGACTCCATTTACAGTGTTTATTAAGCAAATCGCCGTGGTCATTAAGCAAATCATCTGATCATTAAGTGAACCCAGCTTCCCCAATGGATGTTTTTTTAACAGAAATTGGCAACTAAGGTTCCAAATCATGTGACCAAAGGATGCTGAAACCAGTTGTGCTCTGGTTGCCAAGTGCCAAAATTGCAATCATATGACTGCAAGAGTGATACAATGGTCAAATATTGTGCAAATAAGTGATGTCACAATTCATTTTATTCTTGAGGCTGCTGTAACTTTGAATCATGGTGAAATGATGCATTAAATTGTTAAACTTGGGTCCCTTTAGTTCTAGCACAACACTTTAATATCTACAGCACATTTGAATGTTCATTTGCAAGGTATTCACTAGATTAGAGATCTTAGTTTGCATAGAATAGTGGGAGCATATTTGGGCTTTGGTTGTGCTTGTAGTTTAAGGGCAAAAATGTGCCAAAAAGTGTTTAGATTCTTAGCAAAAAATAATGCCTATGGTATAAGTATGTCTAAGGTACTTAATTCTACTCCTTTCGTACTAAAAACATTATTTGAAAGCATCAGCTGACTAGACCATGCTTGATGGCAGCAATGGAAGCATATGAGCTCACCGATGGCATCACAGTTTCAGATGTAATAGGAGCGAATAGAAAAAGAACTAGAACAGGTATGTCAAACTCACATTGTCACGGTGGTGTCACATGACGTATCAGGAATTTTTGCCCCTTCGCAAAACTGGGTATGCGTGTGGCCAGCACGTGACGCCTCCAACCCATGGGCCGGGAGTTTGACAACCCTGAACTAGAATGTATGACATGAAAGGAAAAAAAATGATGTCTTTTACAAAACCAAGTGGAAAACTACAAAAAATTGACAATGGTCTGATCCTGTTTAGTGAATGTATAGGTTTACGAATAAGTGATGAGATATGTCAAAAATATTAATTGCTGTTATATATGTAGGTTCATATACGTACAAAAGTAGGGATACATAGATTGACAATGTTTATGATAGCTTTGTAGGTGACAAAAGAGTAAGAGAAGCTCCAGAATGCAGTAGCCCTCATATTCACCTTGGTATATCCATGTTACATATTGCATTTCTGTAAGACTATATTCTCCAGGTAGACTCTATCCATCCAGTGATATCCAGTAGGTGAGAATTCAATCCCTAAGAAATCTTACCAGAAACTTTGAGGGTAACCTTCATTGTAGGAGTTCCTATCCTATGGAATAGCCTCATCCAGAAGACAATAAAATACTGGCTCTTCTGGATGGCCTTGAGAATAGCTGAGGTGGCTACAAGACTCCTGATGTTATTATGCCAGAAAATTGTGCATTATTATGTTCTTACTCAAATTATAATTTAACCTAGCTACTGTTCAGATTTGGTTTGGACTGGAGTGGTATATAAACTTTAGAAAATAAATCTTACTGGCTGACAATTAGATTCATTGAAGTTCAATGAATTTGGAGAGGACCGGAGTGAGAAAACAGATATGCATATTCAGAAAACTACCTGTAATTTTTGTGGGGAAATTGACTATATAATACATGTCTTTTCAAGAGAAGCAAACTCAAATTTTATCAAAAATCCCACAAGTTTACTCTAAATAATCTGTTTTACCTTCTGAATTGTTAATGGCAATTGCAAATAAGAAAAAAATAGATATTCTGGTTTTGCTGTCATTAATTTCTACATTAATTTTGCTGCAGACATTAAAAATAGTCCATGGACTGAATGATCTGACTCACATAAATTATTTCTGAAGGATAGGTCTTATTCTGCCATATTTGACTACTTCCTCTTGATTAGTATTAGTTTGAGTTTGAGTTTGAGTTTATTGGGATTTATAGGCCGCCCTTTTCCCTGAGGGGACTCAGGGCGGCTTACAACCACAAGGGAGGGGGGTGCAATGTCAAAAAAACGAAACAAAATGTGAACAAAGAAAAATAGTAAAAACACAACTTTCGTTCAGCAATCAAACCTAGTGATTGCTTAGTGAGGTGAACAGGTGCATTATTTTAAAAAGTGCTTCACTTTAGCAAGATTATATACCTAAATATACAATAATCCTGATTTAATTGTGAAATCATGTCAATTGACTCAAGAATGAATCCTAGTATTTTGGGGGGATTTATTCCCTGACTTATAACCCAGTTAGTTCCTCAGGCTCACCAGATGCATTTGATTAATTCCCATAATCGCTTAGGAATTTATCTGGTAGCCATTATATCTGAGTAATTTTAGAAACTTGATACACATCTGACGACATCAAGCTGGACACAGCTGCCATGAATGCTATATTAATTCATAATATTAAAATCTACATATTTCATTTGGATAAGTTTCTGAACAAGAGAAACTTCATTAGCTTACTTATTGCATCAGATTCTTCCGCCCAAAACCACTATTAATATAGTACCTATTGGTACTTTGTCACTGTTTCCATGAAAGGCATTTTCAACCATGTGAACATACTTCATATCTATGATTTATTAAATAAATGCATACAGGTAACCCTCACCTATCGCAGTTAGGACTGGCAACTCTATCAAGCAATGAGATCATGATGTAAAATGTCATGTGAGAGTGCCTGATTTACAATGTCAGTTCAATTCCGGTTGCAGTTGTTAAGTGAATCTCCATAGATCATTAAATACCTGACCACAACTAGCAACTTTCTACCAGCTTCTCCAATTGATTTTGCTTGTCAAATGCTGGCTGTGACTGTGAGATGCTGCAACTGTCATAAATGTCCACCAGTTGCTGTGTAAGTGCTCCAATCCTGATCACATGACTGTGGTAATGCTGTAGTGTCCACAACTCTGAGAACCATTTGCAAGTCTCCTTTTTCAGTACTAATCATAATTTCAAACAGTTGTTAAATTAGTGCTGGTAAATAGGGACTACCTGTATTGGCAATTCCTAGTAAAATTCCCAACTTGGAGTGTTAGTTCTATGAGGATAATATCCAGTGTCTCATAGTTTCAAGACTTCCTGAAATTAATATGGGAGATATTCTCAAACTTTATAAGTAGCATAACCCCCACCATAATTTATAAACATATGTGCTTCCTAATCAATGAAAAAAATCACTTCTTGGGATTATGGTGAGGTAAGAAGTAAATACTACTTCCATTTAAGAATTAAATTTTAATCCATTGTGATTAAATTTTAAGATGAAATTGTAAACCAAGATGAGCTCCGATTTTTTTGCCTATGCAAGCCTGAATAAGTTTTTTAAAATACTGACACCTTGGGGGTAGAAGGGAGGACCTGGCTCATTGCTTAATAATCCTACAACCAACACCTCTCAATGTCGTTTTAAGAGTTAATAGCAATAGCACTTAAATTTATATACCGCTTCATAGTGCTTTACAGCCTTCTCTAAGCGGTTTATAGAATCAGCATATGGCCCTCAATAATCTGGGCCCTCATTTTATTGACCTCGGAAGGATGGAAGGCTGAGTCAACTTGAGCCTGGTGAGATTTGAACTGTCAAATTGTAGGCAGCAGACTGTCAGCAGAAGTAGCCTGCAGTACTGCATTCTAACCACTGCCCCTCCCCCCAAGCTCTAAACTTGATCAGTGATCAAAGAATCCTGACTGACTACTGAAGGAGATGAAAAATTAAAAAGGAAGCTGAAAGAACACTCCATGTTCGTTCTACATATACATACAAATTTAAGTCAAGTACCTGTAAACTTGCTCCTGCAGCCACTTCTTATAAATGTTACTGTGTGAAGGCAAATAATCCAGACTTTCATGGACTGAATGTTCATCTCCCTTCTCTTGAAGACTGTTTTTCCTAGAGCAATGACTATTGTTAGAATTCCCTTTGCATTGGAGATCAAGAGAGTCAATCAAATCAGGCTGCTCTTCTACCAGCAACATTTGATCTTCTGCACCACCTGCACACAGCTTGTGAGAAAGCGGGATTGACATAAAATCACACAGCTCACAAGATTGCAGCTTGCGAAGTTGTCTTGCTACCCAATCGGATGGGTGGGAAATTCAACAGGAGGAAAGAATGTATCTGTACAAGAACTGCTGATGTTGTGGGTTGTATATTTTGGGGCTGCAAGATACAGATCCAACACGTTTGCAGCATCTACAGCCAGCCAGAACCAGATCTTGCTTTGTATGGTAATCTTCTCACTGGAAGAGACTGGCATGCAACAGACTAGGTTTTTTTTTCTTGAACAGAGGTGACTTGAAATGATAGATTTAGGAATTAAGCAGCCACTAGAAATAATTTGGCTATGTAATACAAAATTGTATTCCTTTTGTTTATTAAGTCAAACAGAATTTGGAAGGCTGCAGAAACATATAACAAGGCAGATATCAAGAACTGTTGTATAAGTCAAGTGATAAGGCCCATCACTAATATCCAACTGTACTTGAGTTTGCTGCTCCTCCTCCCTTGTGCTACTGCTGTTTACTTTCTCTAAATAAGAGCAAGAACAGCCCTGTTGTTCTCTTGCCTCAAGCACATGGGGGAAAATGAGAAAAAGAATTTCTCATTTGCCCTCAATGGAAGATTCATAGTGAATGTCTTTTGAGTATTGTGACAATCGGGTCAATTATTTTTGTGACCAAGAACACAGGGATTTTCTCTCCATACAAATACATGTACATGTTATATCCTCAGAGATGACTTCTATGGAAGATGATTACCTGTCTTGGGTGAAAAGAGAACATATGAAATTTCCCAGTATAAAATCTTGAGGTATACTTGCACATCCATCATGGAACAAGGTAAGGCATCTGGAGAGCAGAGCATGCTGTTTTTTGTTTGTGCATGGACGCTAGGATCACACAAATCTTTATGAAAGTTAGAAGAAATTTTGCTTTTATATATAAATATAGTATTGATACACATAAAAGTAAATAGTTGCATACAGGAATGAAGGAGACAATCCATGACAAAATCTTCTAAATAGATAGTGCCAGTTAATGTTTCTAAGAAACACGTTTCCTTTCTTCTTGTACCACTATGTTTACTATAAACTGGGAAACAGTATCAATACTGCCTGTTTACATATGCCAAGTCATAACAAAAGTTTTTCATCAGCGCCATTATTAATGCAGCACAATAGAATACTGCAGCAGATCAGGCAAAGGATTTTTTTTTTTTTTTTGCTTTACAACATAAAAATGGAAGACACATTTTAATTACAAACTCTTGAATTTCTTTATGAGCATAGCATGACTCAGATTTCAGATAGAGCAACATCACTGGTATATGGAAGAGGGTGAAAGGGATGGTGACCTTTTGACCATCAGGACATTATCAAACTATCAAAAAGCTTCATTTCTTTGAATACGAAGCTATTTGAATATGGCTATCTTGCTGTGGAAAGAAAGCTATCTTTTTAAATTGTAAATGAATACATAAAATTTGTTCCCATGACAAATGGTAGACACCTATGCATATGATTAAACACTGTCATTAAATATCTTTTATGAAGTGTTTATTGGGGTGAAAATGTAATAAAGATATCCTGAAGCGTATCATCCAATTCATTTTCTTGCTAGAAATAATACCTAAAGTATTGTTGTATTAAGTTAACCTACAATAAATGACACTGAAGTTTTAACTCTATCCTATAGTACTCACTCAGGGTCAGCTATAAACCTTTTTCAATTCACGTGCTTCCCTCAAAAAATATATATTACAAATTTGTTTTTACAAGATGAAGTAAAACTTAAATAGAAAAGGACAAGCCAGATTAATGGAGAATGCAAAGGTCTATTGCCCATGGCAGCCAGGTCAGTAATAACAGTACCAGATGATTGAATGCAATGATGAAGAGGTAGAGTTTGCCAGGAAAAGCCAATTCCAGGGAAATTCCTTCTTATAGTCTAACAGGTAGGGACTGAAACACTGCGAGTTTCAGAATGTTTAAAGGGTGTTACTCAACGGCAGCAACTTTTAAGATATATGGACTTCAACACCCAGAATTCAGCAGCCAGTTCAGAATTCTGGGTGTTGAAGTCCACATAACTTAAAGTTGCTGAGGATGAGAAACACTAGTTTAAAAGATGCTTTCCATTTTGCGAAGTCTAAACCTAACAGTTTTCATTCGTGGAATGGGGGATTTGGGGGAAGCAGATTTTCTTGGGGTGAGGTTAGATACACAATACTGGGAGATAGGGTAAGGGGGTTTCTCCACTGATGTTATTTTGTTGTTGTTTAGGCCTTGTAACAGCAGGATTTGAGCAAACATACAGCTTAAAAATGGCACTTGTTCCAAACATTTATTATAGGTAACTACAGTGAGACAATCAAACAAACACTGAGAAGCCAATGCAGTCAACACATATTAGAAAACAGAATACTAATAATGTACTATTCTCAGTATATCAGAATGAGTCGGACCCTCAAAAAAAATGAAAGATCACTCATAAAGCCGGTGCAATACATTTTGCTGCCTGAGGGAAAAGACAAGATATCATCTCTTTATTCAACAGACATCAGCTGATCAAGTTGATGGCTGCATCTTGTTTCAGCACTACCAATGAGGCAATATTTATCATTAATACCCCAAAGTAACCAAGATAGCTTAGACCTTGGAGCCATCATTTGATGCACACAACTCTGACCTCACATCTTCCCAAATCCTTATTCCTCAGTACTTGCTGAGGTAGCTGCCTTTTTTTCATAGTAAGAACCTGCACACCTAAAGGCTGGGTTGACACATCACTAACTATGCCATAAGGTGATTTTAGTTTTAGTTTAATGTGGTGTGGTAGCCCAGTAATTGTGGCTTATATAAGCATAACTGATGGCTTAGTATTGCATATGAACCAGGCCATAATGGCTTATTAAAACAAGCTATGGCTTAGCACTATGTGTAAAGCCTGAATTCTGCATCATACATGGTCTGATGGATTTGTATTTAATAATATATTTTTATTTTGTATATTGTGTGACCTGCAAATTCTGGCTTCTTCCAGAAACCATGGTTAGAAAACAATGGCTTAGTACAAAGTTTAAACCCATTCTCATACTTGTTAATTATCCTTTAGCAATAACCTTTATTTCCAGGCACATTTTTTAGAAATTATTGTGCTCTGGGATATAGGAAGGAAAAACATTTTTGCTTGCCTTATTTATACTGTTATCACATATACATATTTTGCACCACCAAATAATTTAAAGCTGATGTCAAGTTGCCCTATCTACACATGGCTCTGTGCTCAAGGAACTTTGTTTTTATAAACTTACTAATATCATTACACTGAAAAGTTGCCAAGCTTAAAGGGAAAAGGCACAAAGTGGCTTTAGGGGAATAATTCATCAACCTTCAAGGCTCCTAAAGATGTTTTTTGCAGCTGCCCACTCCCAGTCATACTGTTCCACACTTTTCACTCCTGGCACCTCAGTTCATGTGATCTAGCTTTTGTATTTAGAATCAAATAGTCAGTCACATATACTCCTAGTTTATCAAATTAAGTCCAGATAGAATCCTTATCAAGGAAAGAGTAATATTATGTATCAATAAATTATAGTGGAATGGAAATGGCTGGTCAACTTGGGAAATGTATCTCTCAGAATTTTTCAAAAATAAAGCCTTCTTCTTATGCTTAGCTTATCATAGTGGAGGGTTTTTTCTCAAAATGGTAGGAGCTATGATAAAAGACTGTATGTATGTAAATACACATACACACACTAAAAAGTTAAGTTCCATTACATTCAGAAAGCTCATAATCTAGCAAAATACATTTAGGAACTCAGGTCCGAGGCTTATTTACCATGTGTATATTTAGGGCAATTTCCTATAAGACAATTTGTAAGGTATCGATATCCAAATATAAAACATGCATTAATTATGAAGGCCACATCATGAAGAAACTGCTGTTCACTTTTAATATATCTGAAAATATGGATTAACCTTCTCTTGATTTCCTTTTAGTCTGAAGGTAGAAGCTGCAAACTGCATTTCATGAAACACAACATTTTAACATTTACTAAGAAAGCATCCCTTAAACAGCTGCTTATCCTGTTCATTATTTAAAAGGAACAGAGAAAAAAGAATTTCCTAAATTAATGTCTCCTCTCATGTAAAATGAAGGTGGCAAAAAGAAAATATTTCTAAAATACATTTACACCCTGCAAACAAGATTAGGCTGAGCTAATAAATTATCCATCCACAATGGCTACACAGATCAGAAGCTTCTTTTATCTTAGATAGTACCTTAGTTGCTGGCATATGAATAACAGATCTCAATTCATTGAAGGAGGAGTTTGCATGCATATTTCAATCAATATGAAAGGAAAAGAAATATATGGCAGAATGAATTTTCAACACCTTACTGTCCATCTAGGGTACCTTGAACCACCGAGCAGCAATTGCACAAAACACAAAAGCACCTAAAAAGCCAGTGATAACATACTTACAAGGAGTTGTATCTTTCCCCTCTTATTATTTTTAATACTATACCTGCTAATAGCAAAGAGAGTTCAAGAATTCAATATACGAACTGAGCATCACAAAAGCAAAAAGGTTACAATGAGGGTCATTTAGTTCAAAATTAAAGAAAAAGAATTACACATGCAGAGTCTAATATAACTGGTTCCACTAAAATTGCTCCAGCAGCCTAGATACCAAGAAAAAGAGTAATTAAGACAAGATTAGGAGCAACATTTGACTTTCAATCTTGCAGGGGTACTGCCAGCGTAAATTTAGAAATAGCACAGCCTCAGGGGATATTTTTCACATTTTATTTACATTTGAAGACTATCTTTATTCTCAATCACATATCCATACACCTATTTCCTTTTTTTGTTTGTAGTTTCACTAAAACTTAAATGCATGGTTTATTAGAACGAAGACTGTAAACAAATATTTGCAATGTCCATTACATGAAACACACAGGAGCTGCTTAAAAGAAAATCATTCCCCCATTTTATAAATACAAGTATCAAAACAATCCTGACCATATTCTGAAACACTACTAGCAGTCAGCACCCACACATTGCAAAAATTAAACAAGTTGAGCAATGGTATTTGCAGTACTTGCTACTTAATTGTTTTAATCTGCAGCTCTTTCACTAAAGCAAGATGGATAAAGCATGCCATTAGTTTTTTTTTCTTCTTGCAAAAAGTTTCTGAAACATTATTCCACAGCAACCTGACACTTCCGATCATGCGCTCATCTTGAAACACTGGAGTTCCAAATTTAGGCTACTTCAGGCTTATGCTTAAAATGATAGTGCTTGGTAAAGAGGAAAAAATTGTGCTGCCTTTTTTCTCTGATTGTGTCTGAAAACATATGGGGCATACATATACATATATATTCTTTCAATGTCCAGATCATATACACCAGCAGAAACTCTTAATGTGTGGGTGGTTTGCATTGTGAAATTGAATCAAGACATTAACATAAGTAGAAGTTGTTTAAGACAAGTTTGGGATTCAGCTAAAATTAATTGTTGTAAGTTTGCCCTTCTGGAGGTTGTGGAAGCTTCATATTTTCTTTGGACATCATTAGACGCCTTAACTCTTGAAGTATAACTTTAATGCTATAAGAATTTTGCCATTTTCCTAACACTGGTATGCTCCGTGCGTCCACCTATAAAGAAAGAAATCATACATTTAAACCAAGAATGTAAAATAATTATTCTAGAATGATGTCAACAGTCAGCATGTATATTTCAGAAAATATGAACACCAATTTAAACTTGTGGGTTGGTGTTTAAACTGCTGGATTAATTTGTAAATGCAAAAAATGACTACTGATTATTGCAACATGAGAAATTATAGCTCACAATGTCTCAAATGAGAATCTTTACTTTGGTGCCCTTTGAATTTTTTTTCAACCTAAATAGGGATGTAAAACTCACGATGACACATCATCACATGACGTATCACAACTTTTTCCCCCTTTGCTAAAATGGGGGTGGGCAGGGCCAGCGTGTGATGCATCCGGGCTGTGGGCTGCGTGTTTGACACCTATGCGATAGAGGGATACTTTCAAGGAATTAATATAATTTTTCCTTAACAAGTAAAAAATGGAAAAGCGTATGAAGATGAGGAAATAATTTATGCATATATATTTTATATTGTCATATTCAGGAAATGCTGTTTAACTGTTAATATGCAATTACATTTTCTGGGAATAGTACATCAGATATTCAGTGACACTGCTTTATCTTTAAAAAATACTCATCTATTCATATTTAATTTCTGGATCATGCGTAACTGTTGACTTTTAAAATAGAAATTCTTATATAGTAGTCTTCAACAGTTTGCAGATAGTCTTATTAATTGTTTATCTATCCAGGCAGTTTGATTAGATCTATACATTAAGAGGATTATCAGAAACAGACATATTTAGCCTCTCCTCCATCAAAGTCCCTTTGCAGCTACCATGGCAAAGTGGGATTACAGTTTCTACTACTCCCTCTCACTGTGCAGTTCCCACAGTTCCATATTTTACTAATCTGATACCAAATAAAACACTATGGAATTAAAAGTTTTAACTGTTAATTACTAAATATCTTATTGTGAGCTATTTTATATCTGAATCAAAATTTTAATACTATGATGTATTTACCAATATGCAATTTTAAAAAATTGTAATCAATGTCCACATCATTTTGGCAATAGTTAGAATGATCCAGATATACCATATATAGTTTTACACACAATATATAGGAAAACTTATAAAGAGGTATGTTCCCTAACTCTAAGCCTAACCTCTCCTCCCAAGCAGAATCCTTCACAACTTTCCTGCCAAATTAATTGGCTCATTTTGCATCCAACTTACCATTCCATTGGAATTATTTATTCCATTCATATTAATTTTAGTTACAAATCTAACTGTTGGAGGTGCTTCAGGATATTTAGGCCCACACTCTACTTTCAAGCTGTATATTCTGTTTTCATAATTTGTCTAATAAACAGATAAGACAAAAAGTTAATTATAATGAAAATATGCATTTACAATTTTAAGAAAACAACTAAATAAAGTCAGCCATATTTCAGGGCTGGTAGACTTTCACTGAGCAAATGCAGCAGAAATTGAAGAATGCTAGGGATATATTACAATATTTACTTCTGTTAATCAGTTGATTAATAATTTTTGACTTTTTAAGAGTTGCATTTACAGCCATTCTAATTAACTGTAGAATTATTACCATTCCAAAGGATTTGTGTGTAAACCTAGTTCCAATTCCACCTAAAAATGTGTATGCGTAAAACCCTAACTGAATGAGGAAAAGTAAGACAATATTTTCAATTTAATTAATATAATTATGGCCACTATATGATTAACTGTTTGCTTCTCTATGTGCATTATAGACTATTTTAAGCATACTATATTAAAGGTTTTAGCCAAATATTTTTTTAAAAAAAAATCAGAGAAATTTAAAATATCTACTATAATAGCAATCCCCAGTAATTGTTCCAAGAATCAATTTTATACTCCCCCAAAAGCTTTGAGAACTTCTAACTCTTGTTATTTGATTCTCAAGTTCCTCCAGATGTTATCATTTATTTTTATTAATGTGTGAAAGGGGAAAAATATTGATGCATATGAAGTAATCAAATTGTCTTTACAATTTAAATAACTACTGTTCATTCAAATTAAACAAAATCAAAATTAGCTTTTGTCATGCCACAGCCATTTCTTTATTCTAAAGACACTTAGCTTTTTAAATGCCAACTTTGGAATCCCATAATAGATCAACTATAGCTTCTGAATCTAAAATAATGTGCATACCTGACAGAACAAAATAATGGTGGCAAAAGCAATCAATTTATCAAAAATACAGAACTTGCTAAATAAAATCAATTTCTGTAAATTTGTAATAGCTTGAAGAAAAATATCAAAACTAATTATATTTAGAGGCTAATCATATTTCCCTTTTCTACTTAACCAAGCTATATTTTCCTACAACCCAATTTTTCCCATTGAACAACGGTATGCTTTATACTTGTTCTATGTACACTTATTTATTTTAGTCTGCCTTTATCATTTTTATAAAGAAGGGCAGTAAATATACTCAATACTCCTTCCTCCTACTATTTATTTTCATCACAACAACCTGGTGAGATGGCCTGAGAGAAAGTGACTTGTTCAAAACCACCCAGCCAACTTTCATGCCTAAGGCAGGACTTAGAACTCAAATCTCCTGGTTTCTAGCCTTATGCCTTAAATTATGTTCTGATGGATATTGACCTTTCAGTTTCACAAATTCATGGCTATGCAATGATTGGACTACATATAAATTTACAAAGCAGGTTTTCCCTTATGCAATGTTATTTTTTTTATCTCAAGGGGTTCCCTATCCCTTTACTGCAAATTTGAGAACTGCCTAGAATGTAGTCATTAAAAATAATTTCTGCTGACAGAATGGTATCCACCACAAGATAACAACCATTAAGGTAGAAAGATTCAACTCATTAAGGTAGAAGGTTTCTTCACACCTGTTTACTTCCATTTTCCATACTTGCTCAAGAAGCAATTCAGATTTGAGCTAAAATAATACAAAATGACAGTATTTAGGGCACTGTCCTAACTAGAAAAAAATGTTGGTTATTTCAATAGATTTTTTTATGTGTACAAGTAAAAAGTAGTTATTTCAAGTCAAACTTGATTCCTGGTGACTTTATGGTTATACTTCTCTCTGCAGCAGTATGGAAGTTGTTCGCCAATATAGTCTTTGCTTTTTTCCCTCTAGTCTAAAGCCCTGGGAATCTTCAGTTTTCCACTAAAGTACTAAGTAGCCCATGCTCAATTAGCTTTCATGCCCAGCTAATATTACCCATATTAGGTAGTATATAATTATTTAATCTCAATTTGCCTTATTAATATAAAATGATTAATGAAGTCATTAGTTAGCAAATGATAAGAATGCACAAATCAAAAATAGAATATATACATAAACAGAACTGAGAAAATTGTGGGGATGCATCAAACTAATCATCAGTGAGATCACTAATTCTGCTGATTGAAGATTAATCTAAAAATGTTACAAAATAAGGCCATCAACTGCTTTCTTTCCTAGGTTGAATGGTATTCAGCATAAAGATTACAACTATATTATTATAATTAAAACATTCTAGATAGGACTAATTCTTAAAGCTTCAGGCAGTGAAGTTGCAAATAGTGTATTTACTGAATTGAGGGTTTATAATCCCTATTTTCAATCTTGATTCAGATTAACTGAAACTCTATGAACTCCAACACTAAAATTTTACATATAAAGCAATAACTAAATATATGTTTATGAAACTGTATTAGTCAACCTGGCTGGTAGAGAGTATTTATAAAAGTCTCAACTGAAAATATATGTGTAAGAACCCTAAAATAGTTTGGGAGAAAACTGTAAAAGTGTTAGCATGTCCTTCCAGAATGCTTACTTCTATAGTTCTTCCCATGTGACAATTCTAATGACTATCATAAAAACATTTTCAAGTAAATTATATTTGCTTCTTTTTCAAAGCAGGAGTGACTATCATTATTATATACTTTTCTAGCATTAATCCTGACTGAATCTTCTGAGTTAACCAAATTCAACTTCCTGCATTCAGGCTGAAAAAATATTTATTATTTCTACTCTGGAAGAGCATTTGGAGGCTTCAACTGGTGCAGAGTGTGACAGCACGGGCAGTTCCTGGGGTCCCTAGAATGACCATGTTACATCACTGCTCCGCGAGTTGCAAGGGCTGTTGGTCTGCTTTTGGGTGCAATTCAAGGTTATTATTACCTTTAAAGCTCTATATGACATGAGTCCAAGGTTGCCTGCTTCACTCCACTGAGACTGGCCCTCTCGACATGCACCACCAGAGGAGGCATGCTGCAGGCTTCAGCAGCTAAGGAATTTTGGCTGGCTGGGTCCAGGAGTATTCTTTTGGAACATCTTACACCCTGAGATGAGATTGGCTGCCACCCTCCTAACCTTCTGCAGGACGCTGAAGACCTGGCTCTGCCAGGTGGCTTGGGGCCCTAACTGGGGAACATCATACTAGAGGTGATTGATGAATTAAGAGGCAATTCCACTCCCCCCACTTCACATTTACATTCACATCCTATTCCCTCCTTCTCTCATCTTTTTATTATAATTCTATCTGTATGGGGACTTCTATTTTTACTGTTTTAGATATATTTATATGTGACGATTTTAATGTTTTATACTGTAAAACTTTAGCCATCTAAATTTAATAATAAATAATAATTCCCTCAACAGCACTGAGAAAATCCTCAAATTTCTCAGTTCTAGGATCTCTGTTTTGCAGAACCTCTTTCAGCTTCAACTAATACAATTACAAAAAAGAAATACAAAAAAATAAAAGAATTATAGTGTAAGTGCCATCCTATTTAAAATTCTTTTATACCAAATAAACAAAATTCATTAAAATGTGCTCAGTTCTAAGCTACAAATTTGTATCAAAGAGCAAAATGCTGTAAAATACTGATACACAAAACTAACAAGGCAGTCATGTCTAAGTTAAAACAGGCACAATAACTAATGTTGGTATAACTAACAAGAAAATTATACTCCAAACCCGGCAACAGACACACATCTAGGAGGTCTAAGAAGAATGCAGTGGATGGAGGGTTTCCATGTGGCAGGAGCTCAGATTCCCTTCTTTCACTTTATCTCACATATTAACTCTGGGGGGAAAGCCCACAAAAAAGGGGGAAGAGAAGCAACATATCTTTGGATTCTTTAATGCAGGCCAATTGACCACTTGTATACATACATACATATATACACCCACGCATGCACACCCACGCACGCACACCCACAATAATGGAAAGGAGGGTGATCTGCAAGAAAGCCTAATATGACCAAGATTTTTTTTTTATTTCTGAAAATCATATCAATTTTTTTTGCAAACTGTAGCTATCTAGTATTATTTCAATAGTGAATCCATGGAATAAGATAATATATTTCAGTTGCATCACTATTGGAGAGTAGCACTCAAAATTAATGTATCCTTTGCTTTGTAAAATAGCTACCAGTGAGCTCTATTTTCTCAATATGATTATTATAGAGTTAATGAACATATACATATAAAGGTTTTTGTCATTATTTTAAGTATATTGTTCATGTCTTAGATTGAGCATATAAGAAATATTTCCAAAAATACCCAAAAAGGGAAAATAAATTTTTGTAACTACCTCTATTAGTTCCTATTACTTAAAAGAATCCTGACAAATTCCACATTTACATTCAAAGGAAGACTGGAATGTAATTATATTAACTACCACTGATCATGTTCTCTTAAAAAGTGTTTCTTTTTAGAAAAATATTTAACTTGCAGCACCAACCCTTGGTGGTCCAATAATCATGCCTGTCCACCGCGTAAGTGTCATGTCTTCATCATCTTCCAGACCCCAGCTTACTGTACCATCTCCTACTCCTTTTTGACCCTCTTCAAGTTCTTCCAACAAGCGAAAATTACGAGGGACTTTAACTATTAGAGAGAAATGAGGCAATATTAACATTTTTAAAAACAGTATTAGAATAGAATAGAATTTTTTATTAGCCAAGTGTGATTGGACACACAAGGAAGTTGTCTTTGGTACATATTAGGGAATTATTTAACCTTTAGTAAATATGTTTCATCTAATCCAACCGTTATAAATTACACATCAGAATGTTTGTATTTAAGCAAAACAAAACACTTTCATGGTAAACAAAGTACATCCCAATTGAAAATTAAACCATTATGCATAAAATAATGTTGTTCTAAGTCACTCAGAGTTGCTGCGAACTGAGAGATGAGCAGTATATAAATTATATGGATTCAAATTATATGGATAAATGTTTAATTTATTTTGAAATAAAACACTTTCTCATGAATCTTATTTTAAATGATAGATTCTAAATATCACATTTCATACTTGAAAAGTCAAATCAAATCAATTTTCTGCATCAGAAAATAGCTTTTTTGATAGTGAGAATTTTTTTTCAATTCATGTTATCAATCTCCATGAAACATTATCAAATGTAAATAATCAAATCTTAATACTTTTTCTTTCCAGAACATATAACACTTTTTTCCATAGTGAGACACTGAAATTAGATTTTAACTACTAGTTTTAGAACAAGTTAGAATATGAAGCCAATTCCAGATTATGATTTATAATTTCTGATTTGTTGTAAAGCTGATGACAGTAATTCTGTGGCTTAGACAAAATAGGAAACTACAGAGTATTTTTGTATAATTTTATTATATTGAGTAGGCAACAGCTCAAGTCATGGGTGCTCCTGGTGGGGGTGGGGGGACTGACTATTGCAGTTCAGTATAGCATGGCCAGGTACAAGGTAGGTGCTCTAGAGGGTGGTAGCATGAAAGAATGTCCGGAGTGGGAACAGACCTATGCCTTCACCTCCCAGCTTGTGGGAAACTGGCAGGGAAGGTTGCAATAATGATAATGTGACCATGGGATACTGCAACCATTGTAAATGGAAGCTATTTGCCAAGCACCAGATCCCAATCACATGACCACGGGGGGGGGGGGTGGCATTTTGAAGACCAGTCAAAGATATTGCTTGTTCAGTACTGTTATATTACAACAAATAAGGACTACACTTTGCCTGAAAATTAAAGGCTTTTTGTTGTTAAGGTATTAGGTCTGGGAAAACATTTGGTGCAAAGTAAGTTTATGATATTTCATTTTCTTATCAATTATATGCTCCAAATTCACACTTTTACTGGTCACTGAAATTGGTATTAGATTATTCATTCAAATATTGTCATAGCTGATTCTTTGTCTAGATTAATAATTATGCAAACACAATTAAGTTGGTTGAATATTACTATGCCCACAGAGTAATTTTGCTTTTGGAGGCACAAACTGAGGAAAGATCTATGGGTTTTTATTAGATGGTACCTGCAATTCAAGATAGAAGTCTAAACTTTATTTTATTAAAATATACTGAAAAAAATAGCAATTGTAGCTATCATACTAAAATACACAAATAAGAAAGAGACTCAGTCTATTCCATGCTGTGAATTCAAAGTTGAAAAGGACATTTTAGCAAATTCTAAACAGCTACCTTTTCTTACAGAAAAGCAGTATGTTTTATTTTTACATAATGTAAGGGTATGAATACACACTATTCTTGTTCAGTATATACTTAACTGAACGACATATATAAATTGCTTTTCTCATGTATGTAAGAAGTACTATCATTGCTTCCCATAAGACCTCCTAAATTTGTCAAGTTTTAGATAATACTTAAAAACACGTGTTTATTATACTTTTTGAAGTAATACTAAGAATCAAAATTCTTAATCAGATGCCTGTTATTAAAACATTTGTGTAGATACAAATCTATTTCAAATTTAATCAAATACTTTATTTTAAAGTAATGGCTTATTTTATTGCTTTGTATACTGCACTGGACTCTTTTGAGGAAGATACAAATATAAAAATACTGTACATTACTTACATTTAATAATTTAAGCATCCATTGTGTGCAAAACATATCCTGTTTAACAAGAAACAATATTTACAGTCTAAGCAAATCAGAATATAAGGGCAGCTGCCAAAGGCCTAGTTGCCTTATCATGGCAATTGGATGCCCATGGGAAACTCAGAAGTTATGAATAAAACAACATCTCCAGGTAATTGTGATTAATGTTCACTGATTTAACAATCCCATCTGTATCAAGAATTGAATAATTAGATATCTTAAAGCATCAAATTAATGAGCTATAGCACTAGAACACTTAAATACAGAGTTGAGATGCAATGATGCCATTTCATGAACCCAAAGTAAGAACTGATTTAATCCAGATTTTTTTAAAATTCAGGACACTAGAAAAATAAATTTTGAAAATATAATACATATACACACTGAATCATTTTTATTTTTCCATACTCACTGAAATGCCACATCATGAATTTAAGGTGAATTTCTGGTTAACTTATATGTTCTCTCTACAAACAATTTTTAACCATTATGTGAATAATGAGATATGGACAAAATACCAAGAACATCCAAATTAGAGTAATATAAAAGACAAGGCATACTGCATGCTACAAAGGAGCAAGAATATTCACATTTATCATACAGCCTAAATAAAAAATGCAGAGCAATAATAAAAAAGGAAGAAAACAAAACTCCAAGGTTATATAAACTGCTTAAGTGGCAGATCTTCTTTCCTGAGATCCGAAGGAAGTTAGCCAAGATGAGAGAGGAGGAGGAAAGCGCCTGAGATTATCAGATAGAAAACCTTAAGAACAAGCATTATTCAATAGAATAGTAAGCGAAGATGCCAGGCTAAACTCATTGTTTTTTTAAAGCTCTGTTAATCAGGTAAATCCCAGACTTTAATGTCTGTATTTTCGAAACGAAACACGCGAGCGAATTCAGTCTGGCTTGGGAAGAGCCACATTTGCCAGCCTTCTGACTGGAAAGGGATGCGACCGAAAATATTGCTCAGCTCGCACAGCTCTTTAAGCCCCGTAAGTTTCCGCCACAGAAACAGGTTCGAAAACCCAGAAAACCGCTCCCCGCCCGTCAAAATCCAAAAGCCGCCTTGGAGGGCGCCTCTGACCCCCTCGACGCCTTCCTAACCCGGTGTCTTTCCCCTCCCGGGTCTCTTCCAAGCGAATTCTCTGTCTCGGCGCCAAGCCCTCGGCCTCTCCTCCGCTTCCCCGGGTGGGACTTCAGTCAGGTTGTACTGACGCCGCTCACCCGCCTCCCTCCCGAGGGTTAGTCTCAGCCCCACGCTCAAAGCCTTGTCATCGGAGGGCCCCTCCCTCCCAACGGACAGCGCCACAGCAAGCCCCGAATGACCCCCACCCCAATCTCAGCACAGACCTGTGGATCCGGCCATCTTGTCCAAACCCCTCCCCCACCATCCGGAAACACACTGGCGGCCAGCCGTGAGTGTTGCTTTGCGTGCAACGTCATTTCCTGGAAACAAGCCCCACCCCTTCACTGAATTTTTTTTTGGGTGGTGGTGGTGAGATCCGTCAATCTCACGGCTAGCATAGAATGAGGGCTTTTGCATCCGGGAAGGGAGGGCGCAATAAGCGCTGCCGCGTAAATGGAGGAAGGTGGGGCGGTTCCAACCAGTGGAATATTCTGGAGAAATGTGCTAAATAGGCTGTGTTCAGAAAGCTGCTACTAATGTGCGTAACAAGTATTTTAACTGAGTAGTTAATTCATTTCACAGCATATGACACTTAGTTTTTTGTTGGACTGTGTAGTTTTGCTGAGGAACAGGCTTCCCTGGGCAATAATCACTAGCTGAGATTCCACTCAAGTATAAATTTAAAGTCTGCAGATTAGTTTTTACAGATTAGGCTGGTGAGAAAGAAGATTATAGGAGTGACTAGGATGAGGAGGAAGTACTTGTCAGAATGTGTGATTTTTACCTTGAGGAGTGTTAGCTTTTATTGACTCCTCGCTTGGTTTAAGATCCAGCCTTACCACTCCCAGTGCTATGTTTATAGGAATTAATCATAATGAAACTGTATATTTCCAAGGTTCAGTTTGAAATTGAATGGTGTCGTCAGACTTACCAACCTTCAAAACAGCAAGTGACACTTCATAACCAGAGATAAGGCTATCCGCGCATTTAGTGCTGCTGTTATTACAGTAGAATATCTTTTCATTTTTTACCATAATATCATACGTGAGGGTGTCTATATTCTGTTCACAGACCTCCTTTCTGTTGTTTATTAGATTTGAAGGTTTGTTAATGTGTTGTTTTTTAAAGTATACAATATTACTTAATATATGAGAAGGAATAGATTTAAAACAAGCTTTACAACATTATTTGCATGTTTCACTTTTAATTAAGCTGTCAAGTGATGCAGAATAACCAATCCAGTTTACTGGTTACTCTTAAAGGAAAAACCGAAAACTGCACTTCGGAAGGGGAATTAGCTCAAATGGTAGAGCGCTCGCTTAGCATGCGAGAGGTAGCGGGATCGATGCCCGCATTCTCCAAAATACTGCTTTTTTTAAAAAAAAGATCTTCCTCATACAGCCAGTAGTTAACAGTCCCCTTATTGTGCAAATTGCTAGTTAATAATCCAGGGAAGATTATTACCGCACCAATGAGTGTTACGAAGCACTCTGGTTTTGAATGGATATCCTATCAAAGTTTCTTGGGCACTTGACACTTAAGGGAGGAGGAAGATTGGCACATATTTATGGGAGAGAAACATATTTGATTATTCAGGAGTGGGTGGTGGGGGAGAGAGACTGAAGGCAACAAACGTCTCACAGTTTCAGCTGCAATTAGCTGAATGGGTGAATCTTTGCCTTTTAAAAAAAATGTATTTTGGCGCTCTTGATACTGATTTAAGTTTCTTCCAAAGCAGTGTTTCCCAACCTTGGCAACTTGAAGATGTCCGGAGTTCAACTCCCAGAATTGCCCAGCCAGAGAATGCTGGCTGGGAAATTCTGAGAGTTGAAGTCCGGACATTTTCAAATTACCAAGGTTAGGAAACGCTGTTCCAAAGGAACCAAATGTGAATGCTGTATTTGTGGTGGTGGTGGAGAATGGATCATATTACTTCGCCCAAGCCATTCATTTCCTGTGGTGATTCATCAGAAGCTAAACACGCTGTTTTAAGAGGGGAATTAGCTCAAACGGTAGAGCGCTCGCTTAGCATGTGAGAGGTAGTGGGATCGATGCCTGCATTCTCCATGGTGCTTTTTAATATATAAGAAAAAACACGAGGGGACGGGGGAATCAGGATATTTAAATTAGGTCGTGTATATTTCCCGGTGTCAAATATATTCCTTTCAATAAAATGAATATATAGTAGAATCTTAGTTTAGAATTTGGGGGGGTGAATATTTTTTTAACAAGATCTGAGACTACCGTATTGCATATCCTGAATTAAGGGGAATTCGCTCAAATGGTAGAGCGCTCGCTTAGCATGCGAAAGGTAGCGGGATCGATGCCTGCATTCTCCAGTTTTCACTTTTAGTCCGTTTTACCAAGAACTATTTTGTTTTTTGAAAATGTAGTATATACTGTAAGAGTTTGTGAACAGCATGTCATATATAATGAAGAGGAAAAAAGGGAACCAGACAATCTTTTATCTTCTCTTTTCATTTTCTGGGGCTGAATATGATTATTCAAATATTAATCTTAGAAAAAGTGATTCTGGATCTGCAATGCAATTGTTGCCTTAATTTTATATTAAAATCAAAACAATAGTGAAATTTGAAAAAGTAAACTAATATTAATAGTGGTTTATAAAGTGATTACTGTTGTGAACACTTTTTTAAATTTATGTTAATACCTAACAGCAATATTTCACTGGTTTAGATTTGCTTAAAGAAATAACCTTGATAAATTGATGTTTGTTCCACAAAACAGAACCCAGTTTTTTGTAAATCATTTGCTATTTGTACTTATATATATTTGCTAATTTGATTTATATCCTGTCTTTCTGAACACAAGCTAGTTTATGTCAGAAAGCAAATAAATAAAGGAACCATTAAATCAAATATATGTTGTGCTTTAATTAATCTTGAAAAACATCAGTTCCCAGAATCAATGTAACAGAATACTCTCTCCAATCTGCCAATTTTGAAAATAAAGATCTTTTGTGAGGAATATAATTTTCAATATTTGTAACAGGAATGGTATGTGCTCAAATGGTCAGACAATAAGCATCACACCAAGCATTAGCAACCACTGTAGATATTTCTGTTTGGGGAATGTGGGACCTCTGTATCAGAGATTAAATAGCTACCTATGTGATGTTTTTGCATTAATTTCTGGGTTCTATAATCTCCCAGGATTTGAAATGGACACCTAACATTAAAACCATCACTAAAAAGGCACAACCAAGAACGCTCTTCCTGCAGCAACTTTAGCAGTTCAGACTGTCCCTGGAGCTGTTGATACAGTTGTCCAGAGGAATTATTGAGTTCGTCATCTGTATTTGTTTGGTACAGCAACAAAACAGGACAGGTACAGACTCCAATGGTTAGTTAAGACTGCAAAAATAGAATATAATAACAGAGTTGGAAGGGACCTTGAAGGTCTTCTAGTTCAACCGCCTGCTTAGGCAGGAAACCCTACACCACTTCAGACAAATGGTTATCCAACATCTTCTTAAAAACTTCCAGTGTTGAAGCATTCACAACTCCATTGCTCCATTGATTAATAGTTCTAACTGTCAGGAAATTTATCCTTAGTTCCAGGTTGCTTCTCTCCTTGATTAATTTCTACCCATTGCTTCTTATCCTGCCTTCAGATGCTTTGGATAATAGTTTGACTCCCTCTTCTTTGTGGCAGCCCCTGAGAAATTGGAACACTGCCATTATGTCACCCTAGTCCTTCTTTGCACAAGACTAGACATATCCAGTTCCTGCAANTATAAGTCTACTGCTATTGCTATTGCTATTGCTATTGAACAAAATGCCCAGGAAATGTGTGAAATATTATTTCATACTTTGACATTCCATTTCTGGCATTGTGTATAAAATACCTAATATTTCCGGTAACATATACGTATAATGAGAGGGTAAAAGAGAACTTGGCTAATTTAAATGAATGCAAGTCTCCAGAGCTCAGGCTATGGATGGAATTAGCAGAAGTGATCGCACAACTGCTCTCAATAAACTTTGAGAACTCCTGGAGGATTGCTGATGACTCAAATGACTGATATAGAGCGAAAGTCATCCTCAGTTGAAAAAGGGGGAGAGAAGAAATCAAGAAAACACAGATATCTGCTTCATGTCTATACTGGGCAGGATACTTAAATAGCAATTTGGAAATGTTTGGATTGGCCTGCTACAATGAACAAGAGCCAACTGATGGAAAGATGAAATGGGTTTGTTGCAAACAAATAGTGCTATATTAGCATTGATTGCCTTTTTTGATAGAGTCACTAGCTTAGTAGATCAAGGGAATGCTGTAGAAATAGTATACCTAGACTTCAGAAAAGTTTTTCACAGTGTCTCCTGATCTTCTTCATAAAATGGCAAAGCATGGGCTGGATGATGCTGTTTAATAGACTCAAAATTGCCTGAGTGATCACACACTTTGTTTGTTAAAAGCTTTTGCCTTGGCCTGTAAAGATGGAAGAACCTTCCATATAAAGAATTCCTTTTGATTGCTTTCACATGGTCTCTCTGTGGTTAAGCTTCATGAGGCTCATTTCATCTTTCCATCAGTTGAGCAAGCATATTTTCAGTCATCCTTTTGGCTGACAACCTTCTCCACTTAACATTAGAGCTGCTTTTGCTATAGGGTTGTTGCTGCTGGATACCATGTGGCCATTGCACTGCAGGTGCAGTTCTCACATTTTCTTGGCAGTGAAGGCAATCACAAGCATTTCTTTCCCTCTTGGTCTCCAGACGCACTTTGTAGAACAGAGGTTTTAAGTGATATACTTAATAATTAAAATAGTGGAAACATTGAAGCATAATGTTCAGCCTTGCAGAAGAATCATGTTTTCAGTTTTATGTGCTCTGTTTGGGGCAATATGGTAATAATTATTAAAATATGAGTTTGCTAGGAAAGAGATATTCTACTATTATTTTCTTAATACATAATGAACAAGGTAGATGGTCATTTTATCACAGATGTCTGAGATCTACATGGCTACAGCTGACTTCCACTGCAGATCAGTTCAGTTTTATTAACCTGCCAACAGCTGCTTGTGTAGCACAGAGGAACCAATTTGCAGAAATTAAGGTGTGGCTGATTTAATCATTTTATATGTTCCCCTTTGTTCAAGGAAAGTGTTTTTGCAATGAAAAGTGTGCTGTGCTAACTCTGGTCTTCAGTCCTTAGTATTATGGGAAGAATGGGATGAAATTACATATCTGGATTTTCAGGCTCAAACTTCATATCAACACTTCTTGGGTTGTTATGGTTTTGCAAAATATTT